CATGATGCCGAAAAGTTTGAGAACCACTGTTTTATGCAGTTGTCCGTGTCCTTTGCCCTGCCGGAATGCTACATGATGGCACTTGTCCAGCTACCATATAATGTGTTTGTCCAGCTGTTTTCAGACCTTTTTTCCTTTGCAGACCCCTAAAACATTTTGAATGGCAGTGCTGATCCCTTTGGAAATCTTAGACATAGTCTGTAGACCCCTAGGGATCCAAGAAGATGGGAAACAAGGTCTGAGCTCTGACTGAAGCTTTTCCCACAGTCAGTGCAGCTGAAGGGTTTCTCCCCTGTGTGGATTCTCCGATGGGAAACAAGGTCTGAACTCTGACTGAAGCTTTTCCCACAGTCAAAGCAATGAAAGGGTTTCTCCCCTGTGTGGCATCTCCAATGCGTAATAAGGTGTGAGCTGCAACTGAAGCTTTTACCACAGTCAGAGCAGTGGAAGGGTTTCTCTCCTGTGTGGATTCTCCTATGTCTAATAAGGCCTGAGCTCCCACAAAAGCTTTTCCCACACACAGAGCAGCTGTAAGGTTTCTCTCCTGTGTGGATTCTCTTATGTCTAACAAGGTCTGACTTCTGACTGAAGCTTTTCCCACAATCAAAGCAGCTGAAGGGTTTTTCCCCTGTGTGGGTTCTTTGATGCTCAATAAGAGTTGCACAGTCACTGCAAGTGGAGGGTGCTTGCTGATGGGCCATTTTCTGTTGAACGTTTTGTGTGTTTCTTTCCATACTTCTGCTCCAATGACTGGATTTACCCTGTCCTTCCTCTGGATGGTTTCCCTGCTCCCTTTCTAGGTTATGCTGACTCTCCCAGGTCTCTCCGTGCTCAGGACTCTGAGAAATATGCCCTTCAGATCTTCCCAGTAACATCCCATGTGGAGCCACTTGCTCTGGTCCTTCCTGCTTGACACTCAGTGTCCCATCACCTGCTGGAAAGAGAATCCAGGAATCATTCTCTGTGCTGAGCTGAAAGGAAAACTCTGAAAGGGGAACATATCCAAATAATAGCTGGAAAGGATGAATAATCATGAGCTGAGTTCATCCTTCTTCCTCACAACCCTTTTCTAAGGAGAGAACCCAGCCTTCACGCCCCACGCCCTCCCAAATGACATTGAAGACAGGCCGAATGGTCAGTTTGACATGATGAAAATGCACAAGAGACATTTGCTATGAGGACACAGAAATTGGTTTCTGAGTCAGTTTAGCTGATTGCTCACCTGTGTGGGTATTGCTGGTGATCTCCCCTTCCTCAGAGCCCTGGAAAACTGGGATCCACAGCTCCTCCCTTTGCTCCACCCAGGAGATTGCATGAGCTTTAGAAACTAGAAATCCTGCATGAAGAGCAATTAACAAAGTGCTGATCTTGTTCATTAAGGTCTGTGCCATTACTACTTCCAGAGCAAGAATCTGAGTCGCCCACCCAGAGTAGCTCCTTGCCCACCTTGCAGAGACGAGGCACTGGATGATACCAGATCCCATGACACACTCACCTGCAGTAAAGGTACATCCCCCCTGCTTCGGGAATGGCCCAGTTTATTCCTTGGGGGGAGCTGAGCACCCTGCTGCATGCTCTTGAGCAGTCCTATCCCACTCACGGCCATACTGGATCCCGTCCCGCACACTGAATCCCTCATTTTTGGCCCCACCTCAGAGTCAAAACAAACATTTTTTACCCCCAGTACCTACAGTTTTCAGACACATAAATTTTTTTTCTACCATTGCAACAAATTCATTTAAACAACTTAATCGTAACCGGGCGGGTGATGACATTTTTGGGTGTAAAAAGTACAAAAATTATAAAACACTGTAAAACTTAAATCTAAAATTCAGTTTTCTCCACATTTCAGTTGTGTTGAAAGAATCTGAGTCGCCCACCCAGAGTAGCTCCTTGCCCACCTTGCAGAGACGAGGCTCTGGATGATATCAGATCCCATGACACACTCACCTGCAGTAAAGGTACATCCCCCCTGCTTCGGGAATGGCCCAGTTTATTCCTTGGTTAAAGGGAACTCAGGTTACACGGTTTTTCCACTGTGTGGATTCTCCTATGTTTAATAAGGTCTGTCTTCTGCCTGTAGCTTTTCTCACAGTCAGAGCAGCTGAAGGGTTTCTCACCTGTGTGGGTTCTCTTATGTCTAACAAGATGTGCACTCTGACTGAAGCATTTAAACAACTTAATCGTAACCGGGCGGGTGATGACATTTTTGGGTGTAAAAAGTACAAAAATTATAAAACACTGTGAAACTTAAATCTAAAATTCAGTTTTCTCCACATTTCAGTTGTGTTGACGTACCCCCCAGACTTCTCTGGAATACCCCTCAGGGTACTCGTACCACTGGTTCTCAACCTTTTTTTGCTCATCGCCCCCTTCTGAGCCTCATTTACCTCTGTGGTCCCCTCCCCCCCATAGCCGCTGTTAGTTGGAAAAAAAGGTACATAATTTACCTAATGTTCCGTTTTTTCCATGTGACCCCCTAGAGGTAGGGTGTGGCCCCTGGGGAGCCATATGGCCCATGGATGAGAACCACTGCTCTAGTGTACAACTCAGTCTGTAGAGTCTAGACTGTAGAGTTTTTCCGGGATACCAGAAGTATACTGGAAAAACTCTGCCGTGTCCAGCGAATGTGTCCACTTTTTTGGAACAGTTTCCTAAAATGTGGGAGTATTCTTTCAGCATCCCTGTATTCCTCTTGCTGGAGTATTCTTTCAACATCCCTGTATTCCTCTTGTGGAGAGGAATAAGGGATGTTAAAAAAGATGATTTTTTTCTGAAATTTGGCTGTGTGTAGATGGGCCAAATTTCAGATAAGACTTTTTCAGAAAAAAAGTGGAAAAAGATACGGAAATTGCAGTTTGCAATTTGCGTATCTTTTTCTGACTTATCTTGGCAGCATAGACATAACGTGAGTGTTTCAATTAACCCCCTTGAAGATATTACAGAAGACTGAAACTTTTTAGTGGAGATGGCCAGGTGGGGGCTTGCAGGTCTGATACAGAAGCCCACAGGCAGGGCTGAGATTGCAGTAGCCATATGGAAGGTCACTAGGACTTAGAAAGAAAGGACCCAGCAGAACTCTAGCTCCTCAAGGGCTCTGCCCAGAAAGCTCCTGGCTGGGGAACTTGGCTTGCCCTGCTCTTTGGCTCCGATGCTCTATTTGACCCAGAAGGCAGTAGAGGAAGTTGTCTGAGCAGTGAGGTAAATCCTTGACTTGCTGCTTCAGACGCTGGGAAGATCCCTCTGTGATGTTATAGGATTAAAATATGACCATGTAGGTTATTGTGCTACCACTGTTACACAGTTGCAACAAATCTTGTGCAACACTTGTCGAGTATGGAGTCAATGGAAACATTCTGATGTGGTGACTATGATTATCCTATTTGTAAATGTGCATCATTTTTGTACTTCAAGTTATGAATATGGACCATACACCTATATTTCAAATATGGTTGCCGCTGTGTCTGAACGGTGACAGCCTGCCTTTCTTACACAAGCAGTGCTAGGGTTTTAAGATGATATCCCCAGCAGCCAGCTCACACACTCTCTCTCTCTTTCTCTCTCACACACACACACCACTCTGTGACACGCACAGACACATAGTGACACACCCCCCCCACTGCCACAAACACACTCCCCCTAGAGCAGGGAAGGGGGAGACTACAGGCCTCAGGGACAGAGCAGGACAGCTTGCAGTGTCTTAAAGAGATAGGCTATGTCTACATTACAAGGTTTTTGCACAAAAACTGGGGGAATGTCTATACCTTAAGCACGTTTTTGCTCAAAAAACAAAACAAAAAACCCCCAGTAAATTGACAGGACAGAGGGCTTTTGCTGGTATATTTATTCCTCTCTCCACGAGGAATAACTCCTTTTTGCGCTACAGCTCTTGCGCAAAAAGGCAGGTGTGGACACTCCGCAGGAGTTTCTTGCAAAAAAAGCACAGGTGCTCTGATGGCCATTCACAGAATGATGACCTGTTCCACCCACCTACCAATCCCCCGTGCCATCCTAGGGCAGGACAGAAACACATTGCTCAGAAGGGGAGCTCCAGTGGGGGCTTGCAGGTCTGACACGGAAGCCCACAGGCAGGGCTGAGATTGCAGTAGCCATATGGAAGGTCACTAGGACTTAGAAAGAAAGGACCCAGCAGAACTCTAGCTCCTCAAGGGCTCTGCCCAGAAAGCTCCTGGCTGGGGAACTTGGCTTGCCCTGCTCTTTGGCTCCGATGCTCTATTTGACCCAGAAGGCAGTAGAGGAAGTTGTCTGAGCAGTGAGGTAAATCCTTGACTTGCTGCTTCAGACCATCCCTCCACAGCTCCACACTCCTGACCCCAACTGCCTGTGCCAGGGTGGGCCCTGCCAGCTGTGCAGAACAGCTGCTGCTCCCCCAGCTGGCCATGGTGACATTTGGCTGTGCTGCTTCTCTGGGGTGTGTGGTTGTTGCTGCAGCTGAGCTTCCCATTGTCTTCCTCAGCAACAGCATCTTTGTGTGGTTCCCCAACTTTCCTCTGGTGGCCAGCCCAGCCTGCCGTTTGCTCCCTCCCTTCGGCTGCACATAATCTGCCATTCACATTTTTGCATCTTTGCATTCCTCATGTTTTTAGCCAGACCCCTTCTCCGACTGCCACTTAGTGCTGGGAAGATCCCTCTGTGATGTTATAGGATTAAAATATGACCATGTAGGTTATTGTGCTACCACTGTTATACAGTTGCAACAAATCTTGTGCAACACTTGTCGAGTGTGGAGTCAATGGAAACATTCTGATGTGGTGACTATGATTATCCTATTTGTAAATGTACATCATTTTTGTAGTTCAAGTTATGAATATAGACCATACACCTGTATTTCAAATATGGTTGCCGCTGTGTCTGAACACAAGCAGTGCTAGGGTTTTAAGATGATATCCCTAGCAGCCAACTCACACACACTCTCTCTCTCTCTCTTTCTCTCTCTCTCTCACACACACACACACACTGAGTCTGTTTCACACACACAAAGGTGACTTTTCAAAATATGTATTAAATCTAGTTTTTTTATTCTACTGATGGTGCACAAGAGCACGTCAGTGCACAACACATATTCCCACGCATGGATGGAAAAAAATAGAGGGAACCCTGCTGTCCACATGCCAGAAAGCTATAAAAGGCTGGTGAAACAACTCCATTTGACCTCTCCTCTGCTCTGATCTCCGGACTATGGACATACGCTAATGGAAGCATTCTAACCACAGGACAGAAAACTGTCCAATCTTCTGAAAACAACCAGAAACGTAACAAACCAGCGGTTTAGTCCATCACTGGTTTAAAACTGATGCAAGAACGTTCCAATGTGTGTCTGTATTTGATTGCTTATCTCAATTGTAATTCTCACCTCTTTCTCTTCACTTACAAATAAACTTTTAGCCAGCAAATAGAATTGGCAACCGTGTGATTTTGAGGTAAGATCTGAGTTATTTTATTGACTTGGGTACGTGGCTGGTCCTTTGGAATGAGCAGAATCCTTTGGTTCATGAAACTGGTTTTAACTCACCACTCCTCATTAAGTCTTGTGTCTGGGTGTTGAAACAAGAACTGGAATATTAAGGAGGCTGCATTTCTGACTTCTCTGGGTGATGAGATGGACATGTACTTTTTTTGTTAATGGAGTATATCACATGGGAGAACCACCACCAGTATTGGGGTATGCCTAATCTATTTCTTGGCAATCTGTCCTGAATTTGGTATTCCCGGTTGTGACCCACAGTGAAATCCCTCCTAGCTGAGCAGCATCCTTCCTGTAATACAACCCTGCAGGAGGATGTTGGGTTTGTGGAGTCCTTCTGGGAGGTGGGCTGGCCTAGCGAGGATAGAGACACATCTTTCCCTCGGCTCAGAGATGTGGAGGAGTAGAGAAGGCATGTGTCACGCTGTGTTGCTGCAACTACCCCAGGGGCCAGGATCAGCAATAGGGCCCTGTAGCTGCACCTGCCCTCTAACGAGTGAGCCAGGCTGCCTGTTGACCTGCCCTGACTGCCTGGCTGAGGAAGCTAGAAGGCCAGTTTTGAAGCCCAGCAGCAATAGTAGCTGAGGGTTGCCTCATTACCTAATCAAGTCATGTGGGGGTGAAAGATACGTAACTCCAAATCCTGATTGTATCTGCCTCCACAGTGAGTGCTGGGAGAAATGGGAAGAACTCTAGGTCCTGGACAAACACTGAGCCCGTGTTGCTTTTGTCTGATAGATCGAACCATTTGAGGGGATGCATTGTGGCTCCTTCTTCTTGTGTGCTTTGGAGAAGAGGAAGAGAAGAAAAAATCACCTGTCTCCTAGCAGAGGACAACGCCGCTCTCATGGTTCTAGAGAAAATGAGATAAAGGACGAGAGTTTTCTGCACCAGCATTTTCTCTCCACATTGACCAATCTCTGAGCAGCCCTGTGGGATGTAGGCTTGGTCATCAGCATGGGTGCCTGAGAGCAGCTAGAGCTTCCTCCTACTCTGGTCAAGCTCTCAGAAGGGCTGTGTGTGATGCCCACTAACCAATCTGCCCACACTGACAACGGATCATGCAGCTCTACCACATGTTCTGGGATGTACTTGCCCTAGGCCTTGCCATGATCTGGGCAGAGCCCCTGGGCAGCGTCTGGCTCCTCCTGCCATGGGGGTGGCTGTGCACACTCTCCTGCTGGAGAAGTGGGACTTCCACGTGCTGAGGAATTGGTGCTCAGTTTCGCTACTCAGCATGGACTCTATGGGCGCAGCAAGTCACAGTGCTGTGAAGCACCAGAGTAAATATACTCCCAGTCAGTAACCTTCTGGATGATGGTTGGCAGGACTGGGTGGACCCCACTATGCTTACCTAGCATATAAAGCTGCCAACAACTTCAAGACATGTCCTCCATGGTGTGCTCCAGGAGGTAAAGGCTGCCCTGTCCCCTACCTCTGTGGCTCTTCTCAGGCAAGGTGTTCCCCACCGGCCCATATCACCTGGCTCACTGGAGTTTGATGTCAGCCCCCTGCTGCATCAACTCCCACCCATCGCTCTGAACCACCCATTTTAGCTGACTCATACTGAGAATCTCCATCCCATCCCCAGAGAAGCTCTGCACACTCACATTGCCTCTAATCATTTCCTTGGGCTCGTGTCCTGACCAAACACACGCTGGCTGGATACGCTGCCTCCTCTTCAGGATGAAGAGCTCTGGAGGGCCAGCCTGTGTTCCGCCTTCATTCCACGGCCCACCAGGAATTAGAGTTGGCTGGGCTCTGTCATGGAGCACAGGCATGTTGTTGACTCTGTTTTTAGCCTTCCCTGGCGCTTGTTTGTTCTGAGCAAGAGGGAGACCCAGGGCCCAAACCTGTTAGTATTTGGAGTGTGCTCAGGGTTACAGCCCCTTTTCTGTCTCCTCCAGAGCCCCTTGCTGAGACTCTTCCTGCTCTTTTGCCTTCTCATTTGTATTGACTCTCTGCCCACATATGGTCCCACAAGTCTTCAGGCCTCCTTGTCGGCATCCGTCTCACTCTGGTAAAGACAGTCCTATCACTGCAGGACAAGAGCATGGCAGGGGTGTGTTCTGTGACTTGGGTCAGTACAATTGCATCTTGAGGCCCATGTTATTCCAAACCATCCTGTTCAGTGTCCAGTCATCAACACTCAATTTGACAAAGCAACACTGGATAATTGAAAACAACTTGATGGGGGGGAGGGGGAGAAACTGTCCAAGGCTTGTATGAGACAATGTGAAGACAACGGGACACATGGGGCATGAATGTCTGGAGAGATTAAGCAAAATGGCCAGGATGCAGTGTTTAGCCCTGTGCATATTTGCAGTTCATGCTTTTCTGGGATGACGAGTAAACACCGCCCGAAAAATCACAAAGAGTGGAAGGGAGGCCTTGCTGGAGCCCTCAGCATCACAGTATTAACCAATGCCTGGGAACCACAACAAGACGGGCCTTGGCAGTAGGGTAGATCACTAGGTACCAGCTAACCAAGTCAGCACATTCGACTGGGAAAGAGGATACAAAACACACTGATCTCTGCAATACCTGCAAACGCACTCCTAAGAGATGGCAGAGGAACACACTGATCCTTGTGCAAATCAGGAGATGAGGGGATAATGGATACAGATGTTTTATTTCAATGGGAAGGTACAGGATAAGGATAAGGGATAACAACACACGAAGCGCAATGTTCAAGTGTGATGGATAGGAGTAATGCTGGCCAGGACTCAGGGCAGGACTACTTAACACACGGCCCGTATTGTAGCCCATGGCCTGTTTGTTTGCAGCCTGCAGTGCAGTTTGGCTACGTCTACACTGGCCCCTTTTCCGGAAGGGGCATGTAAATTTCACCAGTCGTCGTAGGGAAATCCGCGGGGGATTTAAATATCCCCCGCGGCATTTAAATAAAAATGTCCGCCGCTTTTTTCCGGCTTTTAAAAAAGCCGGAAAAGAGCGTCTACACTGGCCCCGATCCTCCGGAAAAAGCGCCCTTTTCCGGAGGCTCTTATTCCTACTTTGAATAAGAAATATTCCTTTGAAGTAGGAATAAGAGCCTCCGGAAAAGGGCGCTTTTTCCGGAGGATCGGGGCCAGTGTAGACGCTCTTTTCCGGCTTTTTTAAAAGCCGGAAAAAAGCGGCGGACATTTTTATTTAAATGCCGCGGGGGATATTTAAATCCCCCGCGCATTTCCCTACTACGACTCGGAAAAAAGCGGCGGACATTTTTATTTAAATGCCGCGGGGGATATTTAAATCCCCCGCGGATTTCCCTACGACGACTGGTGAAATTTACATGCCCCTTCCGGAAAAGGGGCCAGTGTAGACGTAGCCTTTGGGTTTATGTGGCTCTCACGGGTGGGGGCCAAAACAAAAAGGGAGTTCATATAATGGTCTTCTGTTGATATGAGTTTTAGTAGTTAAATTCCTGGACTGTCATTGCTCATTAAAAGAGCTGTCTATGGGTGGAAATCAGGTAAATATTGCATTTTATTAATTTCAGCAGAACTGACTTAAATGGGGTCTGCGTGTTGTGCAGTCTTGCCTTAAGCTTTGTATTCATGCCTGTCAGTGTGAAAAAAGCTATTTGCATATATATTTGCAATGCACATTTAAGTTGCAGCTCTCAGCATGTGCCGTGAGTATCATTATGGCCCCTGGGGCTTCCAAAGTTGAGTAGCCCTGACTTAGGTTGTATCTACACTGCAGAGTCTTTTTGGAAAAACAGCTGTTTTTCAAAAAAAAAAAAAAAAACACCCCTTCTCTTCACTCACCCATACATCCACACTGATATTGCATTCTTTCAACATAAAGCTGGAAGAACAGAGGGGTTTTTCCAACATTGGTGAACTTCTTTCTACAAGGAAGAAGCCTTTTTCTGAAAGAGCTCTTTTGGAAAAATGTATGTATGGACAGAGAAGAGGATTTGTTTGTTTGTTTAAAGAAGTCTCCGGGAAAAAGCACAGGTGCCCTAGGGGCCAGTCCATCCACAGTAATCCCTACTTAAATGCGAGATAGCATCCAATCAATGTGAACGCTATCTTATTCTTTCAACATAAAGCTGGAAGAACAGAGGGGTTTTTCCAACATTGGTGAACTTCTTTCTACAAGGAAGAAGCCTTTTTCTGAAAGAGCTCTTTTGGAAAAATGTATGTATGGACAGAGAAGAGGATTTGTTTGTTTGTTTAAAGAAGTCTCCGGGAAAAAGCACAGGTGCCCTAGGGGCCAGTCCATCCACAGTAATCCCTACTTAAATGCGAGATAGCATCCAATCAATGTGAACGCTATCTTTCGAAAAAGCAGGTCATTTTTTCGATACGCTTTTGCAGTGCAGACACTCTCTTTTGAAAGAAGTTGTTTCAGAAGATCTCTTCCAAAAAAACTTCTTTCGAAAGAAGCTTGCAGTCTAGACGTAGCCTCAGTGCCTAAAGAAGAAGAGGATTTGTTTGTTTGTTTAAAGAAGTCTCCGGGAAAAAGCACAGGTGCCCTAGGGGCCAGTCCATCCACAGTAATCCCTACTTAAATGCGAGATAGCATCCAATCAATGTGAACGCTATCTTTCGAAAAAGCAGGTCATTTTTTCGATACGCTTTTGCAGTGCAGACACTCTCTTTTGAAAGAAGTTGTTTCAGAAGATCTCTTCCAAAAAAACTTCTTTCGAAAGAAGCTTGCAGTCTAGACGTAGCCTCAGTGCCTAAAGAGTTAAACTCAAGCAGCTAAGGGTGTTGGCAAGGGGCCAAAATAACCAATGGGATACAGTGCTGAAATTTAAATCCTATCTGCCCTTTCTCTTTGTGTGATTTTTGAACCAGAAGCTGAGGGGATATGATTTTTCAAATACAGGTGGGACTACCATGCCTCCAAGGAATTTGGGGCATGGAAATGGACATGTGAAGAGATAGTGAGTAACTAAGGAAAAAAATGTATATTTAGTTGCAATCAGGGTATTTTTCTTAATTTTGTGTTTGGTTAAAATTCTCTGTGTGAAATCCACATCTTTCCTCTCCCCACCCCATCACCATACTTAAGCTAAAGCCCACACACCTAGCAACCACATATGCTTTATCAAGTATATCTTTTGTTTTGTTAATAAAAATCACCCTTTTTAAGGAGATGATTTGATTCTTGTGTCCTGGAAAGAAACAGAAGGCCTGTGTGGGTACCTGCCTAGACTGACAGGCCAGCTATCTGAATTGGCGTTTGTTTCCTGTGTTTTCTTTTTTCAAGCTCTCTTTTGGAAAAAGAACTTGGGGTACCCGTTGGGAAGAAATTCAACTGTTTCTTCTTGGTTTTCAAGGATAAAATCACTTGGGCCGTGTCCAGACTCAGCAGGTATTTTTCTTTGTTTTGTGTTTGGTTAAAACTCTGTGTGAAATCCACATCTTTCCTCTCCCCACCCCATCACCATACTTAAGCTAAAGCCCACACACCTAGCAACCACATATGCTTTATCAAGTATATCTTTTGTTTTGTTAATAAAAATCACCCTTTTTAAGGAGATGATTTGATTCTTGTGTCCTGGAAAGAAACAGAAGGCCTGTGTGGGTACCTGCCTAGACTGACAGGCCAGCTATCTGAATTGGCGTTTGTTTCCTGTGTTTTCTTTTTTCAAGCTCTCTTTTGGAAAAAGAACTTGGGGTACCGGTTGGGAAGAAATTCAACTGTTTCTTCCTGGTTTTCAAGGATAAAATCACTTGATGGTGGCAGTCTCTCTTCCAGAGCCAGTGCATCAGTGACTTTGAGGAGTTTTTGTAAGCAGAGCCTATAGAGGCAAGATATTTAAGGTCTTTTGCAGACCCCCACCTTCTGCACTTAGAGTGTCAGAGTGGGGAACAGCCCTGACAGGAAGTCACAGGA